ACCTACGTTCCCATGGTCCCACCTGACTTGTCACTGAAGGCAAAAGAATCAGCATCACTGTTCCATGTGTGGACTGCCCATTGCAGACTTCAGCCTTGCTGTCCCTCTCCTCCCTGCCCATGGACATAGCATCAGGAAATTGGGTTCTGTTTTGGGGAAGGTGAACATGACTCTCTCTAGCTGTGAGGAAACCTGACCAGTGCCCCAGACCCGGATGCTGGGGAGTGGGCTGATTTATTGAGCAGTGCCTATCTTCTCAGCAGGAAAAGGCTCACAGGCAGAACTTGCTCTGGGAAAAGAGGGCTCCAAGCCACAGTCTAGAGAGGGGGAGGGGATGTATCTGTGATCATTCGGCCCCAAAATGATGCTCATAATGTTGGCTTTCCAGGCCATTAATTGAAGGGCTTCATGCCCCCCTTTCTCCATGTTGCTGCCTGTTCTGGGAGATAAGCCCAGTTCAGTTTAACCCTATTTATTCCGTCAAAGTGGCCTCCATCTTTATTTGTCAGGAATTTAACCCCCTGAGTACTGAGCAAATCAAAGACAGGGATTGAGATGCGCGCACATCATCTGGACCTGGCTTCAGGGAACTAGCCTGGAGCCTTCTTGATCCAGAGTCATGACCCAGAATTCCCTGCTTCATAGAAGCTTTGCAGGAGTCCTGGGAATCCCTCACCCATTTTCTCTCAGCAATCTGTTTCCACCCAAACAATGAAACCCCGTGGCTCCATAAGGAGACACCCCTTTTCCAAGCTAAGCAATGATAGTTCCTGCTCTCTCCTCACACATTTTCCCTTCCTAGTGTCTTAGGGGAAAGCTGTGACATCTTTGCCTCTTTTGTGTCCCACTGGCTAGTGGTTGTGCCTGACATGGTCTGCTCTGTCTCCCTACTGCCCTCTTCTTGCTTGTTCCTTTTTGTCTCCCTGACTCCTTCCTTCTTTGTTTTCTCTTTTTTGCTTTAGCAATCACATAAGTGTATTCCTGAATACTGATCTCCATGTGAATCGTGTGTGTGTGTATGTGTGTGTGTGTGTGTGTGTGTGTGTGTGTTTCTGTGTCTAGGAGCCTGTCATGTAGGA